TTTTTTTTTTTGCCTGATGACATTTTCAGAAATTAGATAGGAAATATTGCATATCTTAAGTCAAGCAAATTAATTTTTAAAAAGTTAAATAATTGACAAGAAATCCTTTAGGGTTTTGGAGAAAATAAAGTTGAAATAAATTAGTATAGTAAGATTATTTGTACAATTATTTAAAAATTTTTACTTTTTTAAACTCGTTTACGTGATTGGTATTTTTATTTTTTTTTTAAATTTGCGAAAAAATAATAATATAGCAAAAAAGATTTCTAAAACTAAAAAAAAATTTTTAAAGTTTTTTCATTTTATAGATACATTATACGCGATTATCTCTATATAATGCCTGCAAACTCAACATATGCTAAAGACATTTACACTTACAAACGTCACGGCTGTTTCAGAGTGAGCTTCACGGCTTCTTGTTTTTTTTTTTGAAAATTTTGACTTATGGGGTGTTACTAAAACATTTATAACTTTTGAAATATTAGAGATAATTTTGTTTTGTAAAAGGAATAAAAGCAACAATAAAATGTTTTATCATACGACATTTAATACAATAGTAAAAAAACTTCTTTTAGTTTATAAAAAGCGCAACAAATGAAAAGCTTGGTTAAATTTTAGTAATTTGTTGTTACTTTTTATCAAAAAAACTTAAAAAAATATATTTCTGATAGTTATTATCAAGTACATTCATTGTTTAACTATTAATAAAATAAAAAAATCTCACTTAATTGTTAAAGGAAAACTGAAACAGTCTTTATTAAAGTCTGCAAGCAAACCGCATTTTTTGCAAAATTATCAAAAATGTTGTGAAAGGGCGGATTAGCTGTTAAATGAGCACGTTTTTAAATCTAGAAGTTCTTGTTTTAGAAAATAATTCATTAAGTTTATAAATTCAATGCATTATAAAATAAAACCAGATTTCAAGTTTGAAATATTTATTCTTAATATTTTAAGCTGAAGCCTTTAAAAAACTCGAGCAATTTTTTTCTATGCATACAGTTTTAATAATATGGTGTTAGGTTGTTAATAAATAAAGACTCTAATAAAATAATTCATGACCAAAACTGAGTTAAAGTTTTTGAATTAACCTCGCTTTTGGTAATAGAATTAATTTATGGCACTTGAATCAATCTTTTTACACAAAAAATAAACGTTTCTTTAAATATACAAATAGCTAATTTAAATTGTTTGATAATGTGTTTTTATTCTCATAAAAAACTTTGATTGATCCATTAATAAGTTGATCCATTAATAAGTTCTTTAAGTAGAAAACGATCTTTGAACGCCCAGTTGATAATAGATTTATGCACCATTCTAAAGAAAAAAACCGCCTAATTTTGTTTATTTTATACTTCAAAAATTCTTCTCGCTAAGAAAGTTGTCTTCATAAAATTTATTTACATATTTGCTTGGGACGTACAGAATTTAAAGTCACGTGATTGTTTTGAAATGTAACAATGTTTTGCGGATTAAACTAGAAAAATTTGTTTTTAAACTAGCCAAGTTTGAAAACATATTTCATAACATAACTAGAGGTACAGCAAACAATTTTTTGATTTTTATATGCAGAAAGGGTTGAAATTTCAATAATTTGATGCGGATTACAAAAATAATACGATTTTTATTATTTAATAATAAAATTAAAAATATAAATGCATTATAAAATAGTTAAAAAATAAAAAATAAGCAATCCGCACCAAAAATTAGATAGAATAGACATTTATTTATAAATAATCCAAATTTCAACCATGAGGCATGTAGCTATGTTATGAAATCTTATTTGACCCAAGACAGGTTTTCTGTAAAAACCACAAAAAACAGAAAAGTGATCCCAATCGTTAGCAATATTTAAACATTATTATTTTTATTCCGTTTAATGTAAATATTTGTTTAAAAAAAAAAAAAAAAGGTCTTTTATATTTTTTTTATTTGAAGATGAAAGCGCCTATAGGAAAAAAACACTATTATTTTAAAGTTAGTGCATTTTTAAATTTTTTTGCCGAAATACTTTTTTTTTTGATAAACACAAAAATAACTGTGACGTCAAGCTCGCTTTTATATTAAGGTGGAAAACCCCTCAGAAATATGAAATTTTTGAAAAAAAAAAATGTTTTCTTGTTTTATGCAAAATTTATCACAGATTCACAATCTGAAAACCATTTTTAAAAATTCGCTATAGATCTTCATTAAAATAGATTTTATTGAACCCTAGTATTGAAAGCTTCCTTAACAACCGCCATAGCAACGACACTATTTTTCACCTTTACTAAAAAATAGTCCAAAATCCTATTTTTTTAAATGAAAAATATATCTTGTCAAGTAAATTATATTTAAGCCATTGTTCAAAACAACTTTAGTATAAAAACAGTTACTGGAAAGCTCATAAATATATCACCTGTTGACTATCAATATATTGTTGACAGGTTTATAACCTACATCCATAATGACTTAAACACAAAAATTAGAAATGATCTTTCTATTTCTGATTCAAATAGTGAGGTCTTTACAGTTGAAGTCATTAATGATACTACAAAAAATCTCTTAATATCCTCTTGTTATAGACCGCCCGATGGAGATATTATAATGTTTTCAAGTTTTATGAAACAAATATATACAACAAGCAATGTTGAACATAAAAAGCTATTCTGTATTGGTGACATGAACATAAATTACCTAAGCTATCATGAACACGCTAATACCAAAATTTTTTTCGATGATATGATACAACATTACATTTTCCCAATTATAAACAAACCCACCCGGGTAACTCCCACCTCAATTACAGCTATTGACAATATATTGACAAATTCAATTCAAGATCCATCCTTAAAAGTAGGAATAATTAAAACGGATATATCTGACCACTTCCCAATTTACTTCTCACTATCACAACAAGCAACACGTGTCAATAACTTGAAAATAAAAATCATCAAAAGAAGCATAAATAAATTCTCGACCCAAAAACTAAAAGACTCACTAGCGGTAGTAAATTGGTCAAAAATATATCATGAATGTAACCTCGGACACACAAATTCCGCTTACAATAATTTTATAAATATTTTCCTAAATCTCTACAATAAACATTTTCCAAAGGTCGAAAAAGAAATTAAAGCAAAATACCTAACCACTCCATGGATTACCCAAGGAATAAGAAAATCGTCAAAACAAAAACAAAAACTCTACATAAAATATCTAAAAAATAGAAACCATTTTAATTTGTCTAAGTATAAACAATATAAAAATCTATTTGAAAAAATAAAATTAAAATCCAAAAAACTATATTTTTCAAAGCAAATACAAAAATTTAAAGGAGATAATAAAAAAATCTGGGATATTATAAAAGAAATAATTGGTAAAGATAAAAAAAACTCGAACCAACTACCTCCAAAAGTTCTCATAAGTGAAAAAGAGTTTAATAATAAAAAAATTATCTCTGAAAAATTTAACAAATACTTTGCAAGTATAGGTTCCAAACTCGCCTCTAAAATTCAACCTACAAACAATTCATTTGAGAATTACATCGAGGACTCTCGTTGCTCCCTAGTTTTTAAAGAACTAGAATACGAAGAACTTGAAACAGCAATTAAAACATTAAAAATTAACAAAGGTCCAGGTATCGACAATATCCCAGCCAATATTATTTTGAATGTCTTCCCAGAAATAAGTAAACTCATTTTTCAAATATTTAACTCTTCAATAATTACAGGAATTGTACCCGACTATTTAAAAATAGCTAAAATTATTCCTATCTATAAATCCGGAGATACATCTTTCTTAAATAATTACAGACCAATATCAATCCTTCCCGTATTTTCAAAACTGCTCGAACGAATAATCTACAATCGTTTATATAAATACCTAACCACAAACAAAATCCTGAATGAAAACCAATATGGTTTTCAAACTCAGCACTCGACAGAGCATGCTATCGTAGACCTCGTCAATAGAATTAGTGAATCAATCTATGAAAAGAAGTTCGTATTAGGAGTCTTTGTAGACTTGTCAAAAGCGTTCGACACAATAAATCATGAAATCCTACTAAAAAAGTTGGAAAAATACGGATTAAAAAACCATACACTGCAGTGGTTTAAAAGTTACCTGTATAACAGACAACAATGTGTTATTACAGATGATAATTACCACAGTAAATTATTAAAATTAACTTGTGGTGTTCCTCAAGGTTCGATTCTTGCTCCTCTTTTGTTCCTAATCTATATAAACGACCTTCCAAAAGTTTCTAGCAAACTTGAATTTATAATGTTTGCAGACGATACAAATTTATTTTACTCTTCGACAAACATCAAGGATCTGTATGATAATGTAAACATAGAACTCCAAAAATTAAATATATGGTTTAAAACAAATAAGTTATCGCTAAACATAGAAAAAACAAAATACACTTTATTTCACTCAAACCAACAAAGAAACACACTACCAAATATTCTACCCTCTCTAAAAATAGAAAATATCGTAATTGAGAGAACTCACGAAACTAAATTTTTAGGAGTTATAATTGATGAAAATTTATCTTGGAAAAGTCACATAAATGCTTTAAACACTAAAATATCAAAAAACATAGGTCTACTTTATAAAGCAAAACCTATGCTGTCGCAAAGTAATTTAAAACTTATATATTTCTCTTTTATACACAGCTACCTCATATATGCGAATATAGCTTGGGCGAGTACGCATATAACCAAATTGAAAACTTTATATCGACGTCAGAAACATGCTGTTAGACTTATCTACCATAAAGACAAATTTACACACACTGAACCCTTATTTAAAGAAATGAATGTGCTTAATATTTATCAAATTAATATTTACCAAAATATATTGTTTATGCTAAAATTTAAATTAGGTCAAGTACCAAACCATTTTTTAAATAACTTTTTTATAAATAACGTTAATAAATATAACACAAGAGAAAAAGGAAACTTTATTACACCTTTCAAAAAAACAAAACTTTCCCAGTTCTCAATTTCATATCGGGGTCCTTA